AGGAAGGAAATGAACAAATTTACATGAAGATGAGAACATCCAGGGGAACTTACACCATCAACATTTTCCATTAACAGGAACACGCTAACTAGTTATTAGAGAAAGACACACTACTGTAAAACCATATACTGTTTCCATGGGGTACAACCCCTTCCTCCTCCTCTGAAACACATTCTGTCTCTGGCCCACTGTTCCCAGAAATACTGAGTCTTGTCTTTGGATAAGTTCTGGTGCCCACAAGAATGAAATGAGACAGTGGACCCCAGAACACCAGGCCATGACCTTCCCTGCTGCTCCCTGTCCACTCCAGAAGCTGCCTGGCTGCAGGTGGGGGCCTCAGTCCCTGGGTCTGACGTCGTCCATTTGCCTTTCTCACTGGATTTCTCTCCCTGCACTGGCTCCTACTGTCCCAGGACCTGGTGGGCGGCCACGTGAGAAGGACACAAACAGGCCATGCCCCTTTCTTTCTCCCCTCTCAATGCCTGCAGTGGTGGGTTCCATGGGGTAGTGACCAGAGATTTACTCATTATGGGGCTTCTAGCCCAGACCAGGGCCTGGTACCTAATAGTCACCCCATGAATGCTCAGGGAAAGAAGGCGTCCACCACACGGTCCTGGGAACCAAGAATTCCACTATGGCCCATAAATTCTACGTCCTACAGGATTCTGGAATGGGAGACGGGAAAGGCCTTCAAGAGTGGCCACTCCTTTAACCCATTATACTGGCAACTGAGCCATGTTTCCCCATCCTGGACACATCTAGAGGGCACTGCCTAAAACCAGACACATCTCCCCACCCAGGACAGTGCAGGGGCCTTAGCCTGGGGGATGCGGGTGGACAGGGAGGGGGTGAACCATGAGAGCTGAAGAGGAGAAGGCAGGTGAAAGGGGATAACAGGCTGGAAACAGAGAAAGAAATGGGGACAGAGAATGAGGGGTGAAAGGGGAAGAGAGAGGAGAGGGATGCAGATCTAGCTACTAAGGAAAAGTCCTGGAGAGAACACTGTCCTCTCCCAAAGTAAAATCACTTCCACCTGACCACGGCACTGCAGGTTGTGGGTGGCACACGCTGTGAATATTTGTTCGTTCATTTAACAAATATTTATTTAATATCTGTTTCATGCCAGGCAAGGCCCTGCGATGTTTAGGGCCCTTGGCATCTTCCCTTCACATCTGAGTCATAATAGAAAGAGGACTCTGACCCCATCCAGCTGGCAATGCCTCGGGACTTTTACCTGTTGGATCTGGCAGCTCTTCCTGTCGGCCCACACCGTGTGAGGCTGCTCTTGGTGCACCGAATGGGGAAGTTTCTACATCAGTGCCTCGGAGAGTCCACTGGAAGCCCTGGACAGTGGGAGTCGGTGGCACCCCAGTGTGGACGCCAAGAGCACACAGCACTGAAACTCCAGACACCCTCAGGAGGACGGTAAGGGACAATCTGCTGGTGAGAGCCTGGGTCACCAGGAACCTTCGCCTGCATCTAAACAGCATTTGCCTTCAGATTGCCTATGAGATAAAAGAGAGAAATCAAGGTTAACATTGAGATTTGGGGCCTGGGCAACTTGAAGGACGGAGCTGCCATTTACGGAGACTGGGAAGACCCAGGGAGGAGCAGGTTGAAAGGTGGTGGGGAACTAGAGTTGGTTGGGTTTCTGTCATAAGTAATCAACAGTCCTGACTAGCCTGGGCAACACAGTAAGACCCCATCTCTGAAAATAAAAAATAAAAAATTAGCCAAGCATGGTGGCACACACTTGTAGTCTCAGCTACTTGGGAGCCTGAGGCAGGAGGATTCCTTGAGCCTTGAGTTAGAGGACAGTGAGCTATGATGGCACCACTGCACTCCAGCCTCGGGGGGTGGGGGGGAAATAAAGAGTCCTTACTAAATACTTGAGTAGCCAGGGCAGTTTTCACAAAGTAAGTAATATTTGAGGCAGATCTTAGTGAACAAGAATTCGATTCTTTCTTTTAGGGAATTAAGAGTGTGTGGGTGTAC